GTAGGCCCACTTTGGGCAGGCTACATGGGCGGGAAAGCATCAGGAAGGGCTTTGGGAAACCACGGGGCAGAGGACAGACCAGCAGCATCATTATCACCCTCCAAAGACCCTGCCCAAAGGGAACCCTCCCCAAGATCCGCCTGATAACGTCTCCTCCTGGTTCTGAGCCGATTAATGAGGCCTGAGAGGCTAAACGAACTCCAGGCCCACTTTGGGCAGGCTACATGGGCGGGAAAGCATCAGGAAGGGCTTTGGGAAACCACGGGGCAGAGGACAGACCAGCAGCATCATTATCACCCTCCAAAGACCCTGCCCAAAGGGAACCCTCCCCAAGATCCGCCTGATAACGTCTCCTCCTGGTTCTGAGCCGATTAATGAGGCCTGAGAGGCTAAACGAACTCCCCTGGCTGCACCTGCCAGGTGGGGACCGGGCCTAACTGAAGATGAAGCTGGGTGACAATTATAAAGAAGGGAAGACCAGATTAGAAGGGGGCAGGGACAGAGAGAAGGGATGTTTCAGTCCATTGCTGGCTGTAGAGAGGGGAGAGGCCGGCAGGGTCTAAGAGGGGACCCAGGAGATGACTGTCGTGGGGGATTCTCCCGAGTACAGACGTCTGGCAGGATTCTGTGAGAGACACGGAGCCTCCGCTAGCTGCAGTGGTGAGTCCTGATCAGAGAGCTGGATCTGGACTTTGAGGAGAGAGCTGAAGGAGAGAGAGGGATGATAGGTCAAGCCCAAGGCAGGCAGAAGTTGGCTTGGTTTATTGTCCTTTTCGTTTGGGATTTGGTTGGGGGGGATTCCAAAGGAGAACCCTGCGAGTCCCAGCCCTGGAAAAGGCTGAAGCTAGACAGGCTGTGGGAAGACGGTTTGAAAATGAGAGACGTAGTAGTCCAGGGAAGCAGGAGCAAGAAGCCTGAATGAGGCCCCCGACAAGAGGATAATAGAAAGCCCTGAGAGAAGGATATGAGACCCATGGGACCCAGAGATGGAGTAAGGACAGTTTTGACCCTGGAATGGGTAAACTGCGACCTGGCTGGAGAGCCAAGTCGTGAGGAGAAGCAGACCCCAGCTGGAGGAGAAAAGCTATCTACGCCATTTTCAGCCACCAGGGGTCACACCAGCAGTCAGCCACCCCTTCTACAGCTGGGCGGACTCACCTAAGTGGCAGTATCGTCCGTAAAGTCCGGGGTCACACAAACAGGCCCCGTAAATCCGATGGCACCGACCTCTGTTGGCACAGTTGCATTTCTTCCTGCATTGTTTCCCAAAGAACCCTTTAGGGCAGCCTAGACAGAGGAAGACGCACTCTGGTAAGAACGCCCAGCTCTGGAGTATCACGTTATTGTCAGCAGGGGGGGCTTACAGCAGAACCTGGCAAGAACACCCCCCCTTGCAAATTCCACTCCAATGCTGTATAGGATAAGAAACAACCACAGTCCTACCCAGCACCTGCTGTGAAGGTAGGAATGGATTATTTTGTCACCGAGAGTAACGGCTGAATTGCTACAAGGTAAGAAACTGATAAGGGGATAATCAAATGACAGGCTTCTGGGCATAATTCAGTGGCTGCAGGGGTCAGGAAGGATTATCATCTTTCACCTTGTTGACAGGGCTATTGATTAGATTAGGAGCATGATGGTGTTGGGGCTCTCTGTCGCATCAGGGATCAGCAAATAGCAACACAGAATGCAGGACTTGCTGAAGAGTGATTTGATCTAGTCTGATACACCCTACGTTCAATGTTCCCTCCAATCTTTTCCATCCATGTGTGGATTTATTCCATCCACGTGCGGAATAATTTTATGTGCACCGAGGCATGTGCAGATGTGCACCACCAATAGAAACACAGAATCTAGCTGCAGGCGCTCTGCTAAGCAACTGGGCAGCATTTGAATTTCTCCTAAGCAGCCGTACAAGTGCCCAGCTTCCAGGGAACACTGGCTACGTTACAGGATGATAATAAACCCAAACTACAGACAGCGCTCTGCAAACAAGTAGAAAACTTGCCAAAGTAACACTTCTAGCTTGTTCCACGCCCCCCATCAGCACAATGGCCCCAAAAGTGGGATGCACAGAAGCACCAGATGAGACGCAGCAGGTTAGGAATAAAGGCCAGTAGGAGACAAGTGCCCTGTGATTTCTGATCACCCCCTAGACCAGCACATTACATAGTACTTCCTCCCTCTCTGCATCCAAAGTACTTTCAGGGTACCCGGCGCCAGTGTGTCCACACTGGAAGGATGAAGAGCTGAGTCAAACGTCTGGGATGCCTAGCTTTTTCAGACCTGACATTTACACCACTAAGCCACCCCCTGGGAAAAATTACAATCATATTTGAACAGGCAAAGGAATAAAACAGTTGCCGAGGGTGTTGGTTTTTTTCACAAGTCGTGAGGAGAAGCAGACCCCAGCTGGAGGAGAAAAGCTATCTACGCCATTTTCAGCCACCAGGGGTCACACCAGCAGTCAGCCACCCCTTCTACAGCTGGGCGGACTCACCTAAGTGGCAGTATCGTCCGTAAAGTCCGGGGTCACACAAACAGGCCCCGTAAATCCGATGGCACCGACCTCTGTTGGCACAGTTGCATTTCTTCCTGCATTGTTTCCCAAAGAACCCTTTAGGGCAGCCTAGACAGAGGAAGACGCACTCTGGTAAGAACGCCCAGCTCTGGAGTATCACGTTATTGTCAGCAGGGGGGGCTTACAGCAGAACCTGGCAAGAACACCCCCCCTTGCAAATTCCACTCCAATGCTGTATAGGATAAGAAACAACCACAGTCCTACCCAGCACCTGCTGTGAAGGTAGGAATGGATTATTTTGTCACCGAGAGTAACGGCTGAATTGCTACAAGGTAAGAAACTGATAAGGGGATAATCAAATGACAGGCTTCTGGGCATAATTCAGTGGCTGCAGGGGTCAGGAAGGATTATCATCTTTCACCTTGTTGACAGGGCTATTGATTAGATTAGGAGCATGATGGTGTTGGGGCTCTCTGTCGCATCAGGGATCAGCAAATAGCAACACAGAATGCAGGACTTGCTGAAGAGTGATTTGATCTAGTCTGATACACCCTACGTTCAATGTTCCCTCCAATCTTTTCCATCCATGTGTGGATTTATTCCATCCACGTGCGGAATAATTTTATGTGCACCGAGGCATGTGCAGATGTGCACCACCAATAGAAACACAGAATCTAGCTGCAGGCGCTCTGCTAAGCAACTGGGCAGCATTTGAATTTCTCCTAAGCAGCCGTACAAGTGCCCAGCTTCCAGGGAACACTGGCTACGTTACAGGATGATAATAAACCCAAACTACAGACAGCGCCTACATTACAGGATGATAATAAACCCAAACTACAGACAGCGCTCTGCAAACAAGTAGAAAACTTGCCAAAGTAACACTTCTAGCTTGTTCCACTCCCCCCATCAGCACAATGGCCCCAAAAGTGGGATGCACAGAAGCACCAGATGAGACGCAGCAGGTTAGGAATAAAGGCCAGTAGGAGACAAGTGCCCTGTGATTTCTGATCACCCCCTAGACCAGCACATTACATAGTACTTCCTCCCTCTCTGCATCCAAAGTACTTTCAGGGTACCCGGCGCCAGTGTGTCCACACTGGAAGGATGAAGAGCTGAGTCAAACGTCTGGGATGCCTAGCTTTTTCAGACCTGACATTTACACCACTAAGCCACCCCCTGGGAAAAATTACAATCATATTTGAACAGGCAAAGGAATAAAACAGTTGCCGAGGGTGTTGGTTTTTTTCACACTGAAGAACACAATATTAGAAGCACATGCCAAATGTACTGTGTCAGCAGAACGCTCCAACCAGAATAGGTGCAGGCCGCCAAACCCTTCTGCCATCTGATAATCTCAGACGGTTTAGGAAGCAGAAAGGCTGCCCCATTCCCCAGCCTGTGTTCTTCCTCTTCACCCCACTGTCCTGCTTTCCCACTGAACCCCGGTGCCTCTTGAACTTATTTATTCTCTGCGTCAACTGCCTTCTCCCGGAATGGATTCCATGTGCTCCGAGCCACTAGCATGAAGTCATTCCCCACGGACTCCCTCTCTTCATGGTCTGAACAGTGTTTTAACCGTTCAAGGGCGAGACACAAATCAGTATCTACACCAGCTTAACGGCTGCCTGTTGCGCAGCATCACTTCTATTTCCTATGCCCTGGGGCCGTTTTATTTTCCTCTGCCTCCCACTGAAGCTTCCCCAAGACATAATCATCGGTCTAGGTTGGGCCTCCAAAAACTGGGACTCTTTGGTCTGGCTACATCCGTGGTCTGGCAGGACCAGAGATGTTGCTGGACTATGGAATCCTGGCTGGGAGCCAGGTGGCAGGAGGACCGGCAGCAGAGCCAGAGCTGGGGCTGGGTCCGGGGCAGATGAGAGCTGCATCATGGTGGGGAGGTGTATGGGGGGAGGGGCAACAGCAAGGAGGGGCAGTAGGCTGGGGAGCTGGTAGCAGGAGACCTCCCCTGGTCCAGCAAATTCCCTCATTCAGGACCGGTCAGGTCCGGAGGGTGTCAGACCAGAGAGGTCCAAACTGTAGCAGTCAGTGCCCGTTACTGTTCCCTGGCTCATGCAGGACACTGCTGTTCTGCTCAACTGGGGCCGCAAGGAGCTGGGTGCAGGAGCTGGGTGCAGGAGCTAGGACACGGATTCATGTCAAGTGGATCTTTCAATCGGTCTTTTCGTAGGAAGAAAAACATTTTAAACGCAAAGCTACATGACCAGCAAGTGAGACAGAATCGAGGGATGGTCACAGTCCCGGGCACACTGCGATGTTCCAAGCAAAGGGTTAAAAGGCACCAGGTGCCCATAAAATGCAGGAGTCAGGCAACAGATTAAGGACTAGAAACGGAATAACCGAGCACATCACGTGTAAGGAGCGTCTAGGTTTTAACAGAAGCACAAGAGGCCTGAGAGCCCCCAGCACCACACCTGGCCATGACCTCCAGTTATCACTAGAGCAAACACTGCATTGTAAAGTACAAACTCAAATAGCAACGGAACGACGTTGCTGGGAATGTAACTTGTACACGGGTAAGAAACACGGTTTTCCTCTAGCTCTGTCCCCAATTTCTTTAAAACACATTCCATTGTGAAAAGAGAGCAAGACAATTAGGAGGCAGAGACCATGCGTATCCTGAGCGCTGGGGTGGCCACCCAGGAGAGATTCCAGTGCTGCCCAGATGATTAGCAGAGTGCCGCAGCATGTGTTTCTACTGGTGGTGTGCATCCACACACACAACAAAATTTATTCTGCACATGGATGGAAAAAATTGGAGTGAACGCTGATCCCAAGCCCATATCCTTGGCTACGTCTACACTGGCATGATTTTCCAGAAATGCTTTTAACGGAAAAGTTTTCCATTAAAAGCATTTTCGGAAAATCACGTCTAGATTGGCACGGACGCTTTTCCGCAAAAAAGCCCCGATTGCCATTTTCGTGATAGGGGCTTTTTTGCGGAAAACAAATCTCTGCTGTCTACACTGGCCCTTTTGCGCAAAAGTTTTTCAGAAAAAGACTTTTGCCCGAACGGAAGCAGCATAGTATTTCCTCAAAAGCACTGACAATCTTACATGAGATCGTCAGTGCTTTTGTGGAAATTCAAGCGGCCAGTGTAGACAGCTGGCAAGTTTTTCCGCAAAAGCAGATGATTTTGCGGAAAAACTTGCCTGTCTAGACACAGCCCTTCTGTCTGTCCCCCATATGCATTGCACTGCGATAATTCCTTCCTTTTTCCAATGCTTTATAAACTCTAATTAACCATCACAGCCCATTGGTGAGGACGATCAGTATCACTGTGGCCATTTCACAAATGGGGACGCAGCGGGAGGGAGAGGTTAAGTGAGTTGCCTATGGTCACCAAAAGAGTCAGTGTCAAAGCTGAGACTGATGCTCCCTGGTTCCCAGTCCTGTGCTGACACTTTCTGTTCTTCCCTCCCCAGCTCCCACCCTGCTTACCCTGTGCAGAAAACATTCCTCACAACGATCCACACCACAGAGGGCTAGGGGGTGCCCTCATTCACAGCACAGGAGCACAAGAGCAGCCCGTTGTTTCCAGCACCCTGCTGTCTGACTTAGTGCAACAAAACAAGCCTCCCTGCACAGAAGCAACCTCCCTCCCCACCCTGCTACTCTCTCACTGGGATTCGGGGGAGCAGCAAGAGGGCATCTCATGGGTGCATGAAGCAGGAGATTGGGAAGCGTGACCATACCATCCTCACACAGTTCTCCACTGACCCCAGGCGGGCAGCGGCACTTCCCAGTCACTGGATCGCACGAGCCTCCATTCTTACAGCGGCAGGGGGGGGGGGCGAGCTGCCTTCGGGGCAGGCTGGGAAGGGAGAGACAGACAGAAGTCAGGAAAGTGACTGGGTTGTCATGGCCATTTCTTGATTTCTGTGGCCCTAGACTGACAGATTAGTTATAATAAGCTCTGACACTCACTCCGAAGGCTTTCCAGCAAACTCAGTGAGACCTTTACCTGCCTGACGTGCAGCAAACACAAACCCGGCATGGTAGAGATTCAAACAGGCCGCAGTCAAACAGAACAATGGGAGTGGGAATGTATGAAGCCAATACACTGTGCAAGTTGGACTCGTCTCATTCCTGGCCTGCACCTCTCTGCTCCAGTGTATCCCAGTGCGAGGGCAGGGACACAGGCCAGTTTCAACCCTTTGACTGGTTTTTTTCCCTCCTTGCACGAGGCCTGTTATCCCATGTATTGTATTTTTCTGGATTAGACTGCAAAGTCTTCAGGATTGGGATCTTGCCTTCTATGGTGCTGTACACATCATTCATGATGGCAGCAATAGGTATAAGCCAAACATGTCAATGGATCACAGTTCCTAGTATATACAAACCCAGGCAAAGCTGAACATAAATCAGAGCTATGCTTCAGTTTAGATGCTTATTCGAGCCTCTGAATTTTTCTTCTTCTCTTTCTACCGGCAACACCCCAGCATTGCACCCTACCCTATGGAAAATACCTGAAAAAGAAACTCTTTCAGCTTTACCTTCTTTTGCTGAAAGTAAGGGCACCATTTTGGGAAGGTGGGGGTGACAGTCATGCGTACGGGGACGGGACGTGGCTTGCTTTTCATCCGTTCCCCTCACTATCAGGGAGCGAGGGGAAAGTACTTGGATTCCATGAATTACTCCTCTGCCCCTTCCCTTCACCAGCCAGGAGTGAGAGGCCTGCACAGAAGCCGGATACTTCCCCTCGCTCCCCGACAGTCAGGGGAATGGGAAGAAAAGCCAGCCACATCCCGGTATGCACAGCTCCTGCTCACGCCCCATGGTCTGCCAAAATGGCACCGTTGACTGACAGGTACATTCCAATTTTTTTTTTTTTTAAGAAAATAAACCTTGAAATCCAGCTGCCAATTTCATTACCATTTTGTCAAGCCACATATTCATTTTGATCCAGTCTTGTCTGAAATAGAGACAGCTCAAATTACTTGCTTAAAAAATAGATTTGCCTCAGAATCATGGAGTCCTATTTCTATTTACAAGCATGAACCCAGAGAGATAGGTGGCAACCTAGTCTTTCCCTTTCAACTCACTGCAAACACAGTTCCAAATATTTAAAAACCAAAGTCAGGAGACCAGAGAGTCCCGGTTGGAGAATCCAGATTTTGCAGTTCAAATTCAAACTGCAACTGCAAATACCCACTAAGCGCAGCCGCTACTCTGCAATGGGCAACAAATGCCAATAATGGCTACACTGAAAGAGGCCCAAAGGGAACATATTCCTTCATCTGAACTGCCAACAGCTTTGAAGCCAGAGGTTCAGTTGGAAGGAGGAATTAGGACGACTCCCTTTAGTGCCTTAAATAGTTTCTTAGTCTTCAAGTCTGTAATATGTCGAATTCACAGCCGATAGGTTTATGTGCCGTCTGAGAGCTAAGCTCAGCCCCAGCCCCAAATGAAGACATATGCAGGGCTGAACTCTAGATTCATTCCCTCTGGGATCTATCTGGTAAGGGGAGGCAAAGAACTTTATTAGGGATTTTGTCCAGTGACTACCGCATGCTGCGCCAACACACACATGGCAAAGGCAAGCAATGGGTGAAGAAAAGCTGGAGCCATTAGTGCTAATTAGACCAGCTGGGAGGCTGTGCTCACCTCACTTCTGTTTGACCAGCTTTTGGAAGGAACACCAAACCTGTCTGATCCCCCTGCCCTTTGCTTGTCCCCTCCCCAACTTAACTCACTCTGATTGCATAGGATTCCACTCCAGCCCTCCGGACAGTCACAGCCCGTCCGGTCCTCACGGCACGTACCGCCGTTGCGGCAATCGTCACATGTCAGGCTGCAGTCGGGACCGAAGGTCTCCTCCAAGCAGACTGGAACACAGAGAAGCTGCGGATGAGAGGCCTTTCCCAATGCTGCTTCAGCGAACTGACGGGTTCCGCTGGGCAGCCAAACCCACCGCGCTCAGGGACACTGGCCCTCCGGCAAATACACGTGGAGCAACGGTGCTGGAGTGGGGTGTCTAGGACACGTGGGGAACCCAGCACAGAGCCAGGGAATGGTCTTCCCTTTGTGAGGATTCCTATCAGAAGCCGCGAGACCCTGGAATGATTGGGGGGAAGTCTTGGCGCTGCTGGAATCAATAATAAGACTTAAACAGAGCCAGAACATCCCACTCGGTGTTTAATGAGAGGTTACACATGAATCCAAACTCAGAAGCGCAGAAGGTGGCTGGGGAGGTGCTTCTGCTTGGCAGCAAACCAATGCTCTGAGATGAGATATTGGCGTGAAATAGGTTAAGGCGTTAAGCGACACATTGCTAGCCCTGGTTTACAACCATGGGTGGTGGGTATGTGAGGCGGGGGAAGGCACAGCCTTCCCAGACCACCAGCCTGGCCTTGCCCATGCGCCAGCCCCAGAACACATACTGGGGGAGAGAGGTTGGGCCCATGCACAGCCCGCCCTCCTCATGCTCCAGGGCCCGGGAGGCTGGGGTCGCGCAGTGCCCCACCTCCATGTGATGCTGAGGGCAGGGCCTGAGCAGAAGGAGCAGGGCTGAGGGCAGGGTTGGGGGCTTGCCTCCCCTTCACCCACCACCCAGCTTTGCAATGAGGAATGCTCACGTTTGCATAATATAACTGGCAGTGTCTATAGAACAGGGGCGCGCCACTTTTCCATCTGCAAGCAAAGACTTGCCCACCACAACCTGCAGAGCCTCAATGGACGGCAGCACCCCCAATCTGTGCAGCAATGCGGGGGGGTCTCGCCAGCAACACAGGTTTGTGAGCCTCTTTCTGGATGCACTCAGCGGCACGTGCACATTTGGACACAAAAGTTAGTTCCAAAAGTACTGCTACTCCTCAAGGCACCAGAGAACTTTCCACATGCCCTTGCTACCAAATGCCCACCAAATTTTTCTGAAAGCGTATGCTCTCCTCTTGCTTCCACCTCTTCCTCTTCATACTCTTCATCCAGGAGCTGAGTGTACTCATCTCGCAGGACGGCGACGTGAGGGATGGTGCGAAGGATGGGATGTCGTCCATCCACGGCTTCTACAAAGTCATCTAGAGCTGGGGAAAGTCACGGGGAGAGAGCAAACATTGCCATGCAAATCACCAATGCAAAGAGGAGAGATTCAAGGCCCAGGGAGATGAAAGATAAACAAGAGATGAGCAAAGGACACAGAAAACGTGAAATGAAAAGAGAGCGAGATTGGACAGTCAATGGCGTTGGGGGCTGATTTCGTGCTTTAGAGACTGCTCCAGTGTCCCACACAACTGTCCCTGTCTCTGGGAACTGTGATTCATTCCCTGTCTCTTTCCTTCATCCACTTTCTTTTATTTCTTTCAATCTAGAACTGTAAACCACTCCCATCCTGGGAGTGTCAAATGTATCTCTAAAAGGTGTGTATTTTATATTTGCAGTGAGATCTGAGTTCCCAGGAGACAGCAAACCAATGCAAGGTTTCTGTTACACAATGCAAGGCCACCATCTCAAGCTCCTGTAGGGGCACTCTTATGTTGGTTAAAATGTACAAAAAGAGCACAACCGCGAGGGGGCATGGTACAGCCAAGATTGGTTCCTCCATTTCCCACCTTCTCCTGGCTTCTCCACAGCGCTTCAGCAGCTACCATGAACTGCATCGTTGTAATTCAACAGAAAAACCTCTGCATCCTATAACGAGATTAATGGAAGATGTATCTCAACCCTGCCAGGAGGAAAGTCTCTGGGAAAGTAGGGAAAAGATCTGTCTCTGTGCTGCAGGCTGTGGGGGGCCTGATAATCCCGTTCACAGTACCAGTGTGTGTCAATAATGGAGCTGTGAAGAAGCCAGCACAGGTTCAGAAAGGGTTTAATAAATCTTAGATCTGCCACCCAGCATACTTTCAAAGCAGCCTGGAGGATTTAGACATGAGCCTTCCATTCCTTAAAAAGATGCACATTGAAATCCCCCTAGATTGCTTTGGAAATCTCAGGTTTGGCCTCCCTACAGTGAAAACGACTGGATTATACACAAAAATACGTAAGGAAATGACACTAGATGAAAGCAGTGTAAGGGAAGGGAAGGAAAGGGGGAGATATAAGAAACCCTTGTTTTCACTTCCTATCATTTCCTCTTGAAGATTTTATATATAAATACCTTCATCAGGAAATCTCTCTCTCTCTCGCGCGCGCGCACACACACACACACACACACACACACACACACACACACACAGAGGAAATCTCTGTCACACACCCCAGGAAATCACCTCTCTCTTTCACATACACACACCAGGAAATCACCTCTCTCTCTCTCTCTCTCTCATGCACACACACATACACACATACACACAGACACACACACACACACGCACACACTGTTACTTACAAGTACAGCTCCTCCGATCTTCATCCAGTTTGTATCCAGTCTGGCAGCTGCATTGGAAGGACCCCACCACGTTCTGGCACGTGTGCTCACATTCCCCATTATTTGAGGAGCACTCATCCACGTCTAAAACACATACACGGGAGGATAGCTACATGAGCCATGTCTCGTATAGGTCAGAGACACCAAGGCATACACAGAATTCAGAAACAACGAGGAGTCCTGTGGCACCGGATACATCTACACAGCAACATTATTTCAAAATAACTTAGTCCGCGTCTACACAGCCAGCAGTTATTTTGAAATAGTGTCAAAATACTGTCAAGCTGGAGGACTGCTTACTCCGACTTCTGTAACCCTCATTGTACGAGGAGCAAGGGAAGTCGGAGGAAGAGCGCTTTATTTCAAAATAAGTGCTGTGCAGATGCTCCCAATTTCAAAATAAGCTACACAACTGACATGAGCAGTCGCTGGGACACCGTGCGCAGAGCGGCCGGCCGTCTGTGATCTGCACCTAGCCAAGTGCACTTTGTTTTTTATTAAAATGTAATGGTGAGCCTCAAAAAACTTCTATTAGGCCACATGCAGCCTGCCAGATGCCTGTTTCACATGACTGGTGTAGACGCACCCTTAGGACTAACAGAATGATCTGTAAGTCTCTAAGGGCATGTCAACAGTAGGAAACTATTTCAAAATAACTAAAATTGATTTAATAACTCCAGAAATAACAAAATCGAAATACTGTATCCTCACTACAGGAAAGCCTCAAAATGAGTCCAAAGCAGGCTCCCTTAATGTGGACATGCTACCTTGACTTAGAGGCCTAGGAAGTGCGGGAGGGATAGCTCAGTGGTTTGAGCATTAGCCTGCTAAACCCAGGGTTGTGAGCTCAATCCTTGAGGGGGCCATTCAGGGATCCAGGGCAAATCTGTCAGGGATGGAACTTGATCCTGAGATGAGGGTAGGGGACTGGACTTGACTCAACTCAAAGCCCTTTCAAAGTCCCTTCCAGCTCTAAGAGATGGTATATCTCCATGTAATTAATTTGAAGGACTCTGGGGAGGATCTATTTCAAAATAGCAGCACCAGAGCACCCACACTACTGCTATTATGAAATAACTATTTCGATATGAGCGTTATTCTCTCAAGAAAAGCAGGGGTAGAGATTTTGAAATAAGCAGCCCATTATTTCGAAATTCCGGCCTTGGCAGTATGGATGTGCCGTTTATTCATTTGACCTAGGGGGGTATTTCGAAATAAAGCCCTAGTGTAGACCAGGCCCAGGGTGCCACAGGACTGCTTGCTGTTTTTGCAGATATAGACTAACACGGGTGCCCCTCTGAGACTTGGCGCTATAGAATCAGAGACTGGCAACAAGTTTTACTGTTCCTGCCTGACTTTCTAAAATTAAATCAATTTTGTGCTGAGGACATTGCTAGGCTGAGAGTTCTGGAGCCTGAAGATTCTGTTTCTCCCACATTAGAAAAGGAATTAGAATAATTTCTCCTTCCCATTTAAGGGATTTATTCAGCCTACCAATATCTATGCCTAAACAGACGTCGTCTTTCTGTCTTATTCAGCCATGTGGACCTGCCAACATTTCTTTATACTGAACAAAGATCACACAAGCAAGTCAGCCACAGATACTGGAAAATAAAGTTTCCCTGAGTTTTAAGAATCAGCCTACAGATGCTGGGCCAGTTGGATTAAGTTAATCTTCTAGCTAATAACATAAAATGGGGCCGGATAGCTATGCTAGTGACAAAACAGGCTATCATCAAGGAATGGAAACCCCAAATCCCACACATTCACTGTATTCTGACTAGCTAAATGAGCTATTCAGTATAGAACTGGTGGAAAAACTGACATTCACTGGGGGAAATAATTGGAAGAAATGGAAAACTGCTTGGGACTATATGGAAGAATTTCTTGTTGACTCCTTTCAGAGCTCTCATAAATCACTATCTTCCTAGCTATATTTTTGTAGACACATTGGCATTTCCCTGGACAACTTTAATGCCAAAATTAAGGGGAATATTGGTCTATCGCATGCAATACAAAAGGGCATTTCTATGAACTGGTAGAAGAGGTGGGTCCAAACCAACTCTCTTCAACTTTGGGAAAATCTGGGTTGACTCCAAACTAGGCTTTTTAGCTGATACTATATTGCAGCTAATCTCTGTCTTACTTGTGTGTTTCTTTGCTTCTTTTCTCCTACTAAGAGGAATCAACAAAAATAAGCCTTTACGTTTGATTTGACATTTATCATAAGTGCAATATAATTGTAAATCTAAGCATAACAAGACTAGCGGAAGGACCCACACAGTCATGCCTGTGGCTGTCAATAGGGCCAGGTTTACATTCACAGGAAATGTCAAAGCAAGATACCCAACTCCAGCTATGTCAATTATGTAGCTGAAGTCAATGTATTTTGATTCGAGTTTCCCTGCCATCCTCACAGTGGGAAGCAGATGGGAGCAAACGCTCCCATCAGCTTCCCTTACTCCTCACACAAGCTGGAGTACTGGCAGCTGGTGGGGACACACACTGAGTTTGATTTAGCGAATCTTAGCTAGACTTGCTAAATCAAACTCCGGAAGATCGATCATGACAGCAGTGATCTTCCATTTAGTGTCGATGTGGCCTCGCCCAGTACTGTAATGCAGAAGAGCTGAGCCAATGCCCTTCCTCTGTCCCCCACAATGGCCCAGCTAGGCATTGCTACTTACCATCGCACCCACAACCATCGGCGCTGAGCCTGTAGCCAGCATAGCAAACGCAGTCGTAGCCACCAGGATAATTGTAACAGTCCTGCTGACAGCAATGAGAATGGGCCTCACAGTCATTGATATCTAAAGACAGAAAACAACACGTATCAGCTAGCCCCAAATCTGAGAGTTTCTGCTGTGTAGAGAGCTGATGCACGCATCTGTCCCAGCCCCTCTTTTCTAAACTGTCTGATGAGCAACCTTCTCTGGCCTGTGATTTGTTTAAAGGCAAAGCGTAAAGGTCTGCATCCCCGATCAATAATGGAAACAATATGCCATTTTAGAAATCACCAATACCTATGTTTTAAACATAATGGCTGTGTCTACATTGGCACCCCTTTCCGGAAAAGGGATGCTAATGAGACCAGTCAGAATTGCAAATCCGCAGGGGATTTAAATATCCCCCATGGCATTTGCATTTACATGGCTGCCGCTTTTTTCCGGCTCGGGGTTTTGCCGGAGAAAAGTGCCAGTCTAGACACAATTTTCCGGAAAATAAGCCCTTTTCCGGAAGAACCCTTATTCCTACTTGGGCTTATTTTCCGGAAAATTGTGTCTAGACTGGCACTTTTCTCCGGCAAAACCCCGAGCCGGAAAAAAGCGGCAGCCATGTAAATGCAAATGCCATGGGGGATATTTAAATCCCCTGCGGATTTGCAATTCTGACTGGTCTCATTAGCATCCCTTTTCCGGAAAGGGGTGCCAATGTAGACACAGTCTGGCTGCCTGAATTTCCACAAAAGCACTGACTTCATGTAAAATCATCAGTGCTTTTCCAGAAAAACTATGCTGCTCTCGTTCGGGCAAAAGGGATCATCCTACCACTCTAAAATAAAGCAGGCACTGTCTTGCATGCAAGGGTCCCCTGGCCCCTGGATGTAGCAGGAAAGAATGAGAAAGATGGAGTCGACATTTCTTCTAGCACTGTAATCATCAGTCGGGATTTTTTGTCGGAGATCTCCATGAACTTCATGTTTCAAATGGTCTCTAAACAGAACAGATTTTTAAAAAAAATACATTGGTGTTTACCTTTCATCTGACTGCATTTGAAAAGTGACTCAATACCCACCCGGCAGATTTGAACCTGGGAACTCTGGAGCTTAGTGTAGGAGCCTCTATGGCAATGTTTTTTAAACTTTTTAAGACCGAGGAACACCAAACAATCCTTTTTTTTTAAAGAGGAACACCAAGGATTTTTTGCTGAGAAAAAAAAAAAGTCGGGAGAAAAAGGGTCGGGGGAAAGTTATTAAGCAAAAAAAAGGGGGGGGGAGGCCAAGGGAAAGTTATTGAGAAAAAAAGGTCACCTGCCTCTTTAAGGGCTGCCATTTTGAACTCTGTCATTCTCCGCGCTATTCCAACTGCCTCAGGGCACACCAGTGTGCCGCAGAACTCAATTTAAGAAACACTGCTCTAAGGCTTGAGCTAAAAGCCAGATGGCTCTCAGCCTAGGCTGCAGTGGTCTCTTGTTCTTATCTGCTGCTTTAAGTTGTCTAAGTGCCACTACATGGGACAGGGAACCACACTAGGGCTGTGTCTAGACTGGCCAGTTTTTCCAGAAAATCAGCCGCTTTTCCGGAAAAACTTGCCAGCTGTCTACACTGACCACTTGAATTTCCGCAAAAGCACTGACTTCCTACTGTAAGAAATCAATGTAGACAGCTCAGATTTGTTTTCCGCAAAAAAGTCCCAATCGTGAAAATGGCGATTGGGCTTTTTTGTGGAAAAGCACATCTAGATTGTCACCGGCACTTTTCCGCAAAAAGTGCTTTTGCGGAAAAGCGTCCATGCCAATATAGACGCTCTGTTCTGAAAATGCTTTTAACGGAAAACTTTTCCATTAAAAGCATTCCCGGAAAATCATGCCAATCTAGATGCAGCCTAGGTGTGTGGGTTACATTAGCAAGTAAATTGGGGAAGGAGAAATATCCAGTACTGGGACCTACACTGCAGGAGGCTGACATTCCCTTCACTCCTCACAGAACAAGTACCACCAGACGCCAGTAGCGGCTGCCCTCAGTGTTTGATTTGGGGGGTCTACACTAGACTCACTAAATCAAATGCTAGAAGATTGACCTTCAGCAGATCGATTTCCATAGCATAGACATGTTCTGAATTACCCAAGTTCTAAGGGAATAACATATCACTCAGCAAGCCACAATGCCATCTCTGCACGACAGGCTGCTCCCCTTACCAGTGCAGGTTTTCTGGTCCTCATCGAGCTGATAACCAAAGTTACAGGAGCAGACAGGGCCGGAGCTAGTGTGACTGCAGAGGTGGGAACAACCACCGTTATTGGCCTCACAGCTATTCACAATCTCCATCTCTATCCCTAGAAAGCAAACACACAGGCTGGATGGGGCATCTTGTAACATGTGCACAGTATTTTCCCAGGGGATCAGGGCCAAGCCATGTCTTCCACACCTGACTTTCCAGTGCCCCATTGAGGCAGGCACTCCGCATGTAGGATAACAGACTCCCAGAACAGATGTGTGCACATCGAATGGCTGTCTTTGCCCAGCCCTTGGGAATAATACGAGCAGGAACAGGAGAGAGGGTTTGGGGGTAGCTGTAGTATGTGGAGGTCAAAGCAGGGACAGGTAATGATGCACAAACACATTACTAGAGCCCTGCATGAATATAAAATTTGGTATCCGCGCCCACATCTATATCCACAAAAATGAGCCATGGAAATCCAAACCCACATTCATGGATGTGGATATAGAGCAGAGAGCCACAAATTTGCAAGGTTCTAGATGCAAAGTGTGTATCCACTTCTGCGAAAATGAACCATGGACATAAAGCATATATCCGTGGATCTGCAGCGCTCTACACATCATATGCATTTCATAAAACCCTACACCCCATAACGTCCCTGCACAAATCCTGATCTGGCCGAATTGCGGGGCAGCTTCTCTGCAACCTTTCAAACGGCTTTGAAAATGGGCAGACAACCTCGCTGCATACTCCTGCTGCTGACTGCTGCTTTCGGACCAGCTCCAACGCCTGTGATCTGCCAGAACCTGGCCCATCTCCTTGCTGTCGATTCTGCACACCGATTTAATGACAGCTAGAAACTGCAGTGCAGCACAGAGCTAATTACAGAAACATTCAGATACTGAGTGCCAGGAGAGTTGGAGCCACTTTTTGTAATGCTGGAAGAAACATGAGTAGCAAACAGACACAGGGGTTTTGCCAAATGATATAAAAAGGGTTTTTTAATTCAGCTGTTTTATGGCCAATATGAAACCTATTAATTACATATTTTAAAATCAGGCTAGCTAATTAAAATCTTTGCAAGCACAAAGGAACTTGTCCCAGAAAAGTCTTTGGCTCAGTTCCATACATTGCTTCCAAACAACAGTTTTGGTGTTTTCATCACTATATGTTATACGATATTTATCTTCAGCACTTGGAAAGTCCTGGAGTGGGAGCATGAAAGCCACGAATGTTGCCCCTGTGTCTCTGCTGACATGGGGCAGAAAGCCATGCCCAGACGTAGAGTGAGGGCTTGTCTTTCACTTGGAATAAAATGAAGAACATATTATGATTATTATTGTTGTTGTTTGAAGAACATAGACAGTGCTTGGTCCTGCTGTGAGGGCAGGGGGCTGGATTCTGTGACCTCTCAAGGTCCCTTCTAGTTCTAGTGTTCTATGATTCTATGATTTTCCCTTTGTTGCCATTGCAAGAGTGGTTAGGTCGTTATGAAAGGCAGGCCTTCTGCTGAGATAAGAAATGTTAACCATGCACCATGTGAGGACTCTTGCAGGAAATTAACATCACAAAAAGCCCTAAATTGGGCCCTTTCTGGAAGTTTTAGCGAAGCAGCCAAAACCTCAAAGAGATGCAGAAATGAATTAATCTCTCTGGCCATGGCTTCACTAGATAGAAGATCAACACTGCCACGATTGATCTTCTGGTGTTTGATTTAGTGAGTCTAGTTAAGACCCGCTAAATCAAACTCAGAGCCTTCCTTCCCCCATTGGATTTTGGTACTCCTGCTTCTGCAAGGAGTAAGGGAAGTCGACAGGGGTGCTTGTTCCCATTGACCTCCCGCTGTAGAGATGGCAGGGAAAAGTGAAAAAAGGTATGTTGACTCCAGCTATGTAATTAATGAAGCTGGAGTTGCATATCTTGATTTAACGTTCCCTTTGAGTGTAGACCTGGCCTCACGTCTAGCAGTGGTCATTTTAGAGCCAGGTTAAGGCATGCCAGCAGGGGCAATGTACGTAGGTGAAGCTTGCATTGCCAACAAAGGTACTGTTTCAGTCTCATAGAATCACAGACTCATAGAACACTAGAATTGGAAGGGACCTTGACAGGTCATCAAGTCCGGTCTGTTTGCTGCTGTGTACCTAACTGAGCAGAACAGGAGCAGTCCAATGATTTGTTCTTTGTTTGTTCCCCAAACAGAGCAGCTCATTCAGCTGTCAGATACTTCCCAGAGTTTTGAAAGGGGAGGGGCACATGCCAGCAGGGTAGCAGAGATCACAAAACACTGAGAAGAGCCATCAGGGCAGGAATTGTGGGGTATTGGTGGAAGCCAGTTCTCTCAATGAAAAGAACTGGGGAAAAGACCAAAGGCTTTTGTGGGGCTAGAAGTTTTTTGTTGCCAAAACTGAGGTGGTTTTCCTCACAAAAGTTGCATCACAGTGTAAATGCTCTCACTGTTTTGTCATCAAACGGCACGTTTTGGCAACATGAAGTGCCAATGTACTCAAGCCCCTTGTTTGCTTCATCATTTCATAACCTGAAATGTCTCCTTTCTCCCCTGCAAGGAATCAATGGGACCACATTAGATCAAGTTCTGCCTCCGTTACAATTCTGCAGTCTCACCCACTTCTGGAGAGGACGGAGAGTTGCAGAATTTGGTCCAATGGGTTTAAACAGCTGTTAATACAGCATCAAAACTGTGCTTCCATGACAGCTTTAAAGACCTGGCCCAGCACTTGTGCTGGTGGGAGAATAAGCAGACCCCTCAGTGTCCCTTGAGGGATGCCACTGAAGATGCTTAGGACTCACGTTGTAGAGCAACGTCACACAAAGGCTTGTCAATGATTTTCTCATTGTTTACTCCCCCCTCCCTTTTTTTTAACCCGGTCAAAACAGAGACCTCTCCCTCATTGCCTGGGGGCTAACGAGCCCTGGCAAGGTGGCCTATACTTACTGTAGCACTGCTTGCCATCTTCCCCCAGCTCATAGCCAGGGTTACAAGTGCATTTAAAGGAGCCACGGGTGTTGAGACAGCTGTGCGCACACCTGGCCAGCCCGGTCGCACATTCATCCAGATCTGCAAGAAAAAGGAAGGCAATCACCAAAACCGAGCTCTGATGGAGGAATGCCCTCCTGAAGAAGCCCAGCTCCTTGCTCCCAGTGTATTCCAGTGAGGGACTATTTGCGGGTCTCCTTTCTGAACTGCCCACTGCAGAGTGACTTCTTGTCCCTCCCAAAAGGTGAACGCTGGACACTGCATGATGGAGTTAACTGGGACGGCAGGAGAGCAGGGATGCAAAGAGGGGGTATGGCAAACATCCATGGTTCGACTGGTCTGGAGCACAGCTCGGAAACTTGTGATGGTCTTTCCTTTGCTCTGCATGACTGTTTCTGGAAGCTGGGATCCCTGGCTCAGAAGCCTGCCTGGGTAGGAATAGCGGGTCGCACGCTTTCTTCTTTTCCAAAACCTCTGCCCCGGACTCAAACCAGAGACCAAGCATTTCATTGAAGGTGTTTCTGACTTGGTTTTGAAAGGAGGCGGGGACTCCTTACATTCTCCCGCACCTCCCACCCTTGCTTGCTCAATGGAGTTGAGACCATAAGCCGAGACGCCGGCAAAGAGAAGGGCTGGAAATCAGGCACTATTCGTCTCTTCACAGGAGACTGCCTACCCTGCTGCAGTGAAGTACGGCTGCCGGACAGATTTCAGCTAATCACAGGAAATCTTGGATGCTTTCCTGATCTGAACCTCTGGAAAAGCTTGAGGTTCCTTCGTCACTGTGTTAGACTGGCTAGTTGGACTAACATGCATGGACATAAGAACGGCCAGACTGGGTCAGACCAAAGGTCCATCTAGCCCTGTCAGCTGACAGTCGCCACTGCCAGGTGCCCCAGAGGGAGTGAACAGAAACAGATGTGATCCCTCTCCTGTTGACGCTTTCCAGCCCCTGAAAACAGAGGCTAGGGACACCATTCCTACCCATTCTGGCTATAAGCATTGATGGACCTAACCTCCATGAATTTATTTAGTTCTCTTTTGAACCTTGTTAAAGTCCTGGTCTTCACAACATCCTCCCCCAGGTTGACTCTGGGCAGCATGAAGAAAAACTTCCTTTGGTTTGTTTGAAACCTGCTGCCTATTAATTTCATTTGGTGACCCCTAGTTCTTATGTTATGGAAACAAGTCAATAATTTTTCCTTATTCACTTTCTGCACACCTGTTATGATTTTAGAGACCTCTATCCTATCCCCCCTCAGTCTCCTCTTTTCTAAGCTGAGAAGACCCAGACTTTTTAATCTCTCTTCATATGGCATCAATTCCAAACCCCTCATCATTATGTTGCCCTTTTCTGAACTTTTTCCAATGACATTAGCAATAGTTTGCAGAGCAGGACAAAGGCCGTGTCTCTCTCCTTACAAGGCACTTTTTGGGAACCGTACCTTCACAGCTTTTGCCATCCGCTGCCAGTCTGTAGCCAGGGTGGCACTCACAGTGAACTACTCCCCGGCGGTTTTGGCACTGGTGCATGCAGCCTCCGTTCCGATCAGCACATGGGTTCCTCACTGCAGAAACAGAGCAGGGAGCAAGCGAACACCATCTCAGCCAGATCCTTGCTCTTGCTGGCAGGAGCCGAGTGGAAGAACAAAGCACTGAGTGGTCATGGATATCAGAGAGAGCCTGTCGCTCATTTAATACGACTGTCAATACAAGAGAGAAGCACCATTCCGGGCCGAAAAGCTTCTCCTTCCCTGGGAGGGATGCCCTGGACTTGGCCCAATGCTCCAAGTGATCCCTGAATCTTTCAAGGACTCTCTGGAGATGCATTTACCAAGCAGTCCCTGGCAGAGCCTGCCTGCCCCATGGGATGTGGGTGCAAGACGGTCATGACATCAACTGCCCCACACGATCCCCAAGTCTGTTGACTCTATGTACACCGCAGGCCCTTCCCCCGATAAAGCACGACTCTTCTGGGGCGAAGCATGACAGGTATTCAACGGCTAACAGAAACACTGCACATTTTAGGCCACCATCATATCTGCCTGAAATCACTAGGGGAGTTGTTGGTAGTCAGAATGCAAGTAAGTGGTAATTAGGCCAGGACAGCCAGGGAGGTGAGCTCTGGGGATTCTTATGCGCTAAATAGGAATATGCAGGACCTTGGTTTTGTGCCTCACCTGAGAAGAAGGGTGTGCCTAGTCCAAGGTCCTGGCAAAGCAATGAGCTGACCTAAAGGAAGCATTTTCTAGCAGAACACGGTGTAGGACCATCCCTGTGCAAGGATCAGGAAGGAAAAGTAGGGCCCATGTCTTCCAGGGTTTTTTTTGTTTTTTTTTTTTTTAATGGAGAACTAAGCTGATTCTGACCAGTTCCAGGAGCCAGGCAGATATGCAACAGTGAAATAGCACCGGAAGCCCCATGTATCAGGTCCCAAAGAGTCCTATTCTCCCAGCAGCTCCACAACAAAGACCTCCCCTCTCTGAACTTATGCCAAATACTATGAATGAGAAGCCTGAGCTTCTGTTCCTTCCCCCTTCAAGCTTCATCCCTCCCCGGCAGGGCAGGCAGGACAGCCTTAAAACTGTGTTAGGGCCAGCATGGCCGACAGCCACCCTGGGCCCCAAAACAACGTGTGTGGGGAGCTGGCTCCACCCCAGAAGGGGTGGGGCCTTGGGTGGAAGGGGCGGGGCCAAGGGCAGTCAGCCCTTAGCACCGCCCAAACCGCCACACGCAGCCTCCCAAGCCCTCAGCACCGTGTGGAGCAGCACTCCAGCGGCAATTCAAAGTAGCAGCAGCAGCCGGAGGCTTTGGCCCCCTTTGAATTGCCAGAACCCCGGGCAACTGCCCCCTTAGCCCCTGCATCAGGAGGCCTGGTTAGAGCAGCAGGAAAGTGCAGGGTTTTCTCTTCCAGTGGCACCAGCTTCCACTACAGTGCAACTACTGATCTGCTCCACGTCTGAGCCTGCTGGGGTGGCACCTCTCCTCCCCCCACCCTCCTTCCCCTGACTGGTTTGTGTTCGGGTAGCGACACAAGCTACTCTCGAAATCATCATTACCCGCTTCATGTCGGGTTCTGCTCTAGGAATGGGAGAGGGAACATGGGAAGAATCATGCACAGGGCCGTCCTTACCCATAAGCAGAACACACAGCTACACAGGGCACCTGGAAATTTGGGGCACCTCTGCGTCTTAGGGTGTGTCTAGACTACATGGCTCTGGCGCCAGAGCCATGTAGAGGCGACATGGTTCTGTCGCCAGAGCCATGTAGATTAGTTTACTAGACATACCCAAATGAAGCGGCGATTTAAATAATTGCCGCTTCCTTTACATTTAAATGGCTGTCGCGCTGTGCCGATGAGCTGTTTGGCGGCACAGCGCTGTAGTCTGGATGCTCCGCGGTCGACATAAAAGCCATCTGTCGACCTCCCCGGTAACCTCATCCCACGAGGCATAACGGGGAGGTCGACAAATGCCTTTGATGTTGACCGTGGAGCGTCCAGACTACAGCGCTGTGCCGCCAAACAGCTCATCGGCACAGCGCGACAGCCATTTAAATGTAAAGGAAGCGGCAATTATTTAAATCGCCGCTTCATTTGGGTATGTCTAGTAAACTAATCTACATGGCTCTGGCGACAGAACCATGTCGCCTAGACACACCCTTAATGTCCACGCACCCATCTGCCTCCTCCTAGCCCTGTTCTGTGGCTCTGCCTCCTCCAGAGAGGATCTAGTGAACTTAAAAAATGACAAAGCCTGCCACAGCTACTGGCAGGACATCGAACTTGGGAAAGAGCCAGTCAAGCGGTCATGAAGCCATTTCAGAGATAGTGCCTACCCAGGTAACGTTGCTGCACCAGTTGAATAGCACTGTGCAGGATCCCCTCCTCTGGCTGCCGTCAGCCATAGGGGCACCAGTTTAACAGGATTCCCCTCCCCCTAAATCCTAAAAATGGCCCTCCTCATGTGGGATTCCCACTGCACTGAGCTTTGAAATCCATCCAGCTGTGGCTACAACCTGGGGAAGCAAAGACAAATGGGAGGGACAGCGCCTGTGAATTCACAATTGATTCCACGTGCTCAGAGCAGACTTACGGACACAGTGCTTGCCATCCTCTGTCAGCTGGTAATTGTACCGGCACTGGCACTGATGCTGGGTTAGGGTCAGCTGCACACAGTCGTGTTCACATCCACCGTTGCTGATGGCACAGGTGTTCACAGCTAGGAAAGCCAATGATTACAGCAAGTTAACAAGCGATACACGAGAGTTTGCTTTGCAAGAGCCAGGGCAAAATACAGGCACTGATATG